AAAAATAACTAATTTTTTGAAAATTTCTTACATAAAGTAGTCAAGTAAAAACATCTCGGATTATGTACCCTTCTAGAACAATTCTTTGTCTAATAATGCTCTCTTGGTCATTAATCCTCACTGGGTCTTAAGTAAATCAGGAAGATTATAAGGGAGCAAAATCAGTATAGAGTTCTTTATTATTGATTTAAATAGTCTTTTATTTAGCCCAAATTGTGGGTGTATAAAAAATACTGTACTTCATGTTGCCAAATTTTATAAAGTGTCCAGTGAAGGACAACTAAGAGGCACAGATATATTATAAAGAATTTCACTGCGTGTTCTGCAAAGAAAGTGAATTTTCAATTAGAACAGCAAATACAGAGGTTTGATTTTGCTTGTATTTTTTCCTTCCTTCCTGCTTACATATGAACTGTTTCCCTATTTTAAATTGTTTTGACTGATATTAATGTACAAAGGGCTAGTCCACAGAATAACAATTTTTAGTAGATCTTGGAATACTACCCAGTTCATTCAAAAAGGAAATAAGGTATGACTAGTACCTAACAATTTAAAAATCCAAAGTGGTAGTAAACTCATCACACAAATGAAAAAACAGATTAGACAGAGTGCAGTTCAACAAGAAATTCAAAGGAACTGAAACTTAATTCTTAGCCAACTTACCCAATTTTTGTCTTCTCTTTCAACTTAGAGCAAGTTTTTGTTTTTTACTTTCTTTGTCCTTTGGCTTGGATTTCATCCTTCTACCTTTCTTTTCCTCTTTTCCTTCAACTGAAGCACTAGGAAAGTTTTCAGGGCTCATTACTCGTGGAATATTGCGTTCACCACGCTCCTTTGCTTTTGCTATGGCCTCCGATATTATACGATTAGCCTTTTCTTGCTTGCTTTCTGATTCCACCTTTTTCCTCTGCTTCTTCTCGGACATGATCCTCACCTGGGTATTCTGCAACTTAGTATATGTCCCAGAACCATCACTCTTCTTGGAAGATGGAGGCTAGAGAAACCAAAACAAATTTTTACAACATACAAAAGTACATCTAAAACAATTAACGCAAATATCTCAAAATCTGAAATAAGCTTAAAGAAGTAAAAAACATGGGCAAATATGTGAGTGCTACAAACAACTTTAAAATTAAAATATCTGCTAATCTAGAAATTAGTGTAGGTATAAAATTAAAAGCTCAACTACAGCTTCTCAAAATGAAGGTTAAAGAAGGATAATACAGATCCACTGGATATTTTCATAACATTCTTGATCAGCTGATTCAAGTTTTCTCCTATAAATATAGCTACTTCAAATTTACCCTGTAAATATTCTATGCATTTGGGGAAGTCTTTTCTTTGCTCTTCACTCCAGAACTCTGAAAATTACTAATAAATTTAAAATAGCAATTTTAATGTAAAAGGACTACAGCTTACAGTTGTTTATGATTTTTAGAAAGATAAAGCCCCTGCTTTACAAGAAGCTAGATCTAGAACCTGAGCCTGAAAAAAATTTATATAATTTCAATGTGCAATCTATGCAGCAACATAGCTAGTTAGTAAACAGACATTCCCATAGTTAAAATTAGAGAAAAGTTTTAGTTTTTCCATGAAAGAGTTAAATATGGATTTTTGACCTTTCTATATCATAATTATTTTACTCAAGCAATTCTGGGAAAAAACAAGTTTTATAGTTTTATGTTAAAATTATTAATATTTTAGCAATATCACAGGAAGCAGATCAACAGCATTTTAAAAAAGAATTTCCCCTTCAAACACGCATTCATCCACATATACTTAGATCACAGTTTTGTTATGTTCTTACCCGTAAACATGCCTCTCACTACAGCAAAGGAAAAAACCACCAGGAATTTCCAAACACATTTTCATGCTGATTCCAGTGTGCTTCACTGGATATCTTTTCTATACCTGCCTCATCAAAGGTTTCATAGCAGTGCTGCAGCACTGGGAAAGGAAGGAGGGTTTAGAATCGCTCACTAAAATGCCACCTTAAGGCCTACAGGCTATAACAAATAACCAAGACTCGAGAAAACAGCAACAAGCTCAAGATGGCGATGCAGTACGACTCCCGCAGCAGCAGCCAGTAATAAGGAAGGTTATTCAATCCCATTAGCCTTTTAGCCCAAAGAACCCCTCCTCCTCCCACTCATTCAGGCTTTCACTTACCCTTCCTCTTGGCCTCTTCACTGAAGACATTTTTGGCGTCAGACAAAGGCTTGCCCTCTGCTTTTTCACCACCCCAGGCAGTGCTCAAGAAAAAAGCATTGAAAGAAGAATCCTAAATGGCCTATTTAGCAAGCTGCAACCAAGAGATGCACAACCTCCACAAATACACATTGTGATTTATCAACACATTTCTGCCTTGGCAAGTTTATATCCACTCTTCATCCTATTTAGATATGAAAAAGGCTGTAAACCCCTCTTAAAAAGCTGAGTTTCCTCAATAGCTGTAAGCAGATAGCCAGATTCCAACAAAGCACAGAAAGAAATGAATGCACAAAGCATCAAAATGCATCAGCATGAATATTAGAGATGTCGTTAAAAATACTGACTCCTTCTGCGGAAGTAGGCCAGCAGATGGTGCTACCAGTTATTATTCCATTAGACTCTGCAATTTAACCCCCAATGGACTGTTCTTTCCTGCATGTAACACTTTAACTCTCACTCTGCCATTTCCTACAGTAAAGTTTTCGAAAGTACACATAAAAGCCTGATTTTTTAAAAGCGTCTGTAAGCTAAAACTGTGGTGAAATGGCTTCATGTAGCTAGTAAGAAACAAAACCCAACCCAGTTTTTACTGGAGAAAAATATTTTTCTCTGTGATATTGTAAAATATTTAAAATAGAAAGTAAGCTGAAGATGAGTAAAGGGTTAACAACCAGGTCATGCAAATGAACACATAACAAGTGAACTTCTCTTTAAGAAATTAGATAAGGTCTCTTATGATTTGTCTAACAACAAGCTAACTATGTTATTTTTAAAATAGAGAAATGAAGCTATTTTCATTTAAGTTCCAAAAAGAAGCTTAACATTTTAAAGTGAACACGAGTGCTGTCTATAAAGAAATATTAACCATTTAAATTCTTTCCTCTTTCTAAGCCTCGATAAATACACTGACTTTTTTCTAACATAAAAAACTCATAAATTTTTCTAAACCCTCACTCCCCAACATTTTAACTCAACCTCTGAGTTTTTCAGATAAATGTTTAGTTTCAGCCCCTTGCTAAAAATAAGTGGCAAACCCAAATGAACTTTATTATCAGTGTAACTTTTCTATAAAATATTGGGACTATTTAGTAAGCAATGTCCTTAAATAGCTAAAGCAAAATCTTCACTGCTTCAAAATTCAAGTTTCCCTGTTTCATTAAAACCATTTTTCAATTGGTTTTGGCAAGTCATGAGAGCTCTAGCAAGGAAACCTATTTTAGGGTTTTTTTTGTTTGTTTGTTTGTTTTTTGTAGGTACCTAAGATCTCATAATGGAGCAACATTATATGAACAGTCCTAGGAAGACAATGTGGACAGCAGGAGAAGAAATAAAAGCAAGGAGGACCACTAATGGTAAGGAAAGGATGACTGACCTGAGGGACGATCTCTGTTTAAATGACAACTACCAGGAGAAGGGCTAATGCTTACCCAACAGCACTAAACGCCAGGCACTGTCCTAAGCATTTAAAGCTAACAATAAATTTTCTTTAATTTCTAAAAAATTTTTGATCTTTTTAATTTTCTTACATCGTTGCTTATTTTTGTACAATATTTGATTTCTCCCTGCAGGCGTAGTCCCCACAAATGGTAATAACAAATTTAATCCCAAATGATACTACGATCATGGTGATATGGGGGAGGAGTATCAAATGGGAGATTCTTAGAGCAGTATTAACAAAATGTGAGAGCAAACAGTTTTTAAAAAATCATGATAACAATAAGAGCTACCACTTACACAGTCCTTCCTATGTACATACCAGGCTCTATTGCTAATATCACAAAAATACTAACTTGATAAATCTGCAAGACAACATGCTGAGGTATGTACTACTGTTTTCATTTTAATGCTAAACAGAAAATGACTTGTCAAGATCATACAGCTGGTATGAGTGAGCAGGAATGACAAGGCACAGACTGTTTACATTCATCACTATATCCTGCTTGATACCATTTACAGAGATTAATTTAACATGAAAGAAATTAAGTAATTTTCCAAAATTGCAGAGATAAATTTAGTTTTTTCCCAATGCCCTATCTAAACTGCAAAAACCAGCAAGGTGTGTTTAGGGACTAACCCTAAAATCAGTTTCCTTGCTAGAGCTCTCATGACTTGCCAAAACCAACTGAAAAATGGTATTAATGAAAGAGGGAAACTTGAATTTGGAAGCAGTGAAGATTCTGTTTTAGCTATTTAAGGACATTGCTTACTAGATGGTTTCTAGATCAAGCACTGGTACATTAGAAAGCAAAAGAAATAGGAAATCTAGTTGAGAAAGGGTGTGTCTACTACGAGCTCGAAATGGACAGCTCTAGTAAGTGAAAATTTGGGACTGAATACTCAGAGACAGAGGTCAGGGCTGGGATATAAGATGTGGGTTCATCTTAATGACCACAACTCACTGACACTATCCACAGAACCTAGGATGAATTCTAAAATATCTCACTTTTCTTATAGAGATTTTCAATAAATTCTATTACTTGACTCAACATCTCAATTACTTAATAATAAATCTTACTACACCTGATCTTAGCCAAAAGGCTGAGAAGCGATACTTAATAATAAATCTTAGCAGTAGACAATGACAGAGCATATGTGACCAAATATTTCTTCTACTATTAGGATGCAATATTTTAAAAGTATATTCCCACAGAACACCAACACTGAGGTGTTAAATAACTAAACATTTTTAATGTAGGTGATTTTCCAATTCATACATCCATACGGAAATTCAAAGTGGTAGACTTTTGTCAGTGCTATTGTTGCTCTTGTCTCCCCCCTCTCCCCACCCCATATAAAGAGTCCAACAGATTCTGTTCAATCAGCTTCACTGTATTTTGTTTTGTTTTCTTTCTGTCAGTTCTCATAGTTCCTGTGATGTTAATTTCCCAGTTATTGTGACTTGCACAGTGGATCAGGAGACTATCCTTCCTTATCTGTAGGAAATATATATTGAAGTCTTTGGGGGTGACAGAAATTCAGGTTTGCAATCTACTTTCTAATTGTTTACCAAGTGCAGCATTTTCTCTGTAGAGAAGTAATATCTTCTCTACAGGGTATTATAGTAAAAATGGATGCCAATGATGAATGACAAAATGTTAGTATACTTAAAATCTTTATTATGTTGCATTTAAAAAAATTCATGAGAAAAACATTTATATTTCACTCATGATTGTAAGTTTGCCCTACAAACTTAAATATGTCACTTAAATTAAAAATAAAGGGAAAGGCTTAGCTCTCCAAGAATCTCCAAAAGAAAACACAAATGAAGGGCCTCCCTGGTGACGCAGGGGTTAAAGTCTCAGCATTATCAAGCTATCACCAACTCCTGAGGCAAGAGTTCCATCCCCAGCCAGGGAGGTGACCCACACAGCACAGCAGACCTCTCCTGTTTTGCCTGCTGCTCCCCTCCGCAGTGGATTTCAGTGGATCTGCCTGTTCTGCTCCCTGCTCTGTCTCTGTTGAGTCCTCTTACCCCTCACACCTCTGGCCTGCACCCCAGTTTTTCTATGAATAAATAAATAACTCTTTTTAAAAAACCATGAAAGAGAAAGAAACATTAGAAAGTGAGTTTTGTCTGAGTAGAAAATTTAAAGCACTTTCCAAATAACAATTCAAAATAGGACACCACCAATAAAAAGATCAGAAGACTGCACATAAATGTAACATTGGCAAATAATGTAGACTTTCCACATTACATATTCTAAATGCTACTGAAGGGGAACAAACTTTTAAAAAAAGACTTCTTAAATATGTTAATTCATAAACCATCTTCCTTCCCAGAAGTTTCCACAACTGGTGGATTTTCTTATTTGATTTCACAATATTCCCAAGTGGTTAAAAACAAAAATCAAATATATTTCTAACTCTGCAGATGAAAGGTAGCTAGAATAGGTTACCCGTCTGCCACACTGAAACAACAGTGGCGTTCAGCTCTTCAAAAAACGTCATGTTGTCAAGGACTGTGCTCGCCTGATATCCCCACATGGGTGACTGTGTCTCCCGAGCTCATAACTCATACATTTAGGACGACTCGTCAGGAGTCAGCAACCTTTCCAAAGCGGTACATCAAGCTGCCATCATCCAGTTTTCCCGAGGCGAAGAGAGACTGGAGCCTGGTACTGGCAATCTGGCCAGACCCCTAGGTGACAGACTCTCTGATGGCCTTGATGAAGAGGGCAACAGTGTAAGCGACCTCGCCAACTACTGCGTAATGGGCTTGATGACACCAGCCACCATGCTCTCAATTCTTTTGGCAAAGTTTCTCACTGCATTAATAAAATACAGATGAAGAAACCTCTTTCAAGTCTTTTAAAGGAGACACTGAGAATTGGCTCTGTTGACAAACATTTGTTTTTGTATACAACACATTGAGAAAAATCAATTAATTTGAAGAATTCTGAGAATCTCTAAAAAACAATGAACACTCAAGTGATTATTCACATAAACATAAATGATGTTAAGGGGAGGTTAGTGTAAACAAATTTGCAGTAAGGCATTTAAACCTGACATACAGCTTAAGGCGAAAGAAAATCTAATGTCATCAAATGCTGAAAAGTTAAGAGCATTCTAGAAATCACCAAGTACACTAGTTTCACCAGGTTAAAAATTTACCTTGCAGACAATAGAAGTAGTAATGAGAGAAAGAGCACCTCTGGATGCAATTCTGACCACAAGAAAAAAATCATTTGTGGAAGTAGAAGTGATGAGAAGCAAGTGAGAGCAACGCATGGCCTGCTGGTGTGAGGAAAGGCTCGGCATGGCAGCGTGTCGCCATCTTTATAAAAGGAAGCCCTTCCACAGGTAAAGGAGAAAAGGGAGCATCATCACATGACCTGGCACTAGAAAGGACAGATCAATAGGGCCAGGAAATGTAGTTCAGCAAAGCCAGTACTCAAAAATAAAATCCCAACAACACAATCAGAAATGACTCTGAGGAAAAAGATGGTGTATCCAAAAAACATCGGTTGCAGCTACACTGATTTCAAAAAGCAGAGCACAAAAGATCGAGTGAGGAACAATCTGGAGGCATTGATCTGTAGAATCGTGTTGAAGTCCACAATGATATAAAGTTTGATAAAATGAGTAAGGGCAATAAAAAAAATATTCCAATGACTGCTTTACACAAGCGGGGCTGGGAGGATGCGAGGGCACAGTGAGGGTGGGAGAGGTAGGTGAAGAAGGAAGATGGAAAGATGAACAGAGAACATGACTCCAACTATCACTATATTTATTTCCATAATGTTCTGAAGAGAATCAGATTTAGGTAGCAAGGGTATTACTCCAATACTGGGCTGCAACCTGGCTGTCATGCAGTATTTCTTTTTAAAATAAGAAGAGGCAGGGCCTCCCTGGTGGTGCAAGGGGTTAAGCACAGCACTATGAAGCAATCCGCAGCCTCTGCAGCACGAGTTCGATCCCTGGCCGGCCAGGGAGCTACCCACATGGCGCGGCAGACCTTTCCTGTCTCGCCCGCTGCTCCCCTCAGCAGTGTATTTCGTCAGTCTGCCTGTTCTGTTCCCCACTCTCTCTCTCCGGTGGATCCCCTCACCCCCCACATCTCTGGCCTGTGCCCCAGGTCTTGTAGGCATGAATAAATAAATCTTAAAAAAAAAAAAAAAAAAAAAAGAGGCAGACTGTTCCCTCTCAGCACTGGGTGCCCGCTGCTGTGCTCACTCCTCTTTTCCTCCACTGTGAACCAACTCTGGCACCAGCCC